GAAGGTTTAGGATATTGCGGCTTCTCCACAGATGCCTTCGGATTTATTCTGGATGTCTGAAGGCGGCATCTACCCGAATTTTGGTGTATCGATTAGTCTACCCATTTGGAAAAAGGCGACCACTCGGCATATCTCTTCTTCTTAGTGCCGATAATTGGTCAGTACTTTAAAATGCAGTGTGAGAACCGTTTTTGACAGGAAAACCACATAATTTGGAGGCCCCTGTCAGTCAAAATAACGTCCTTATTATTTTCGCCTTTTAACGTCCGTAGAACGACGTCAGCTTAGTCGCCGTTTGTCCTGGTGCAAGCTCATGACTATCGAACCCCAAACCTTGTATCAAGGATTCGTTCACTGATAAGGTTGAGTAATAAGAGTGACGGTGCGCATAATTGGCAAACGTCTGACCGTACACTATACGACTGCAAGTTTCTGGACAAACATTTTGGCCGTGGTTGAGTGTGGCACATTAGCCTTTTACAAGGCTCCATGATCATGAGAATGTAGACTTGATTCGAAGTCTATCAAATCAACGGCCGTCTGTTTCGGGCAGTCATGAAGGAATTCCAGAATGCCCAATAGTAAGAATATTCAGTCAATGCGCCCATACCACTCACGTGGCTTTTCTATGTAAAACATGCTCTGAAACCGTCAAAGTTTGCTAGCGGGAAGACTTTGCGACAAACCACAAGACTTATGCACAGTAGTCCCCGCGCTTAACCTTACTCAGCTTTTTGAGGACAAACGCAAGGATTACCGAGCTGTATTCGCCTTCCGTCTTTTTATCTCAAGACATGAGGGTGCCACACTTTCGACTTATAAATCACGGCAATGGCTGAGCAACGAAGGAAGATGTTTTATTGCGACGTAGTCATATGTTGCTGCATAGGTTGCAAGAGGGATAAAAATCTCCCCAAAGAGACGTTATTATCCATTTGATCCGAAGTTGAAAAGGCACCGACACGCTACTGCCTGCTGTCGATTCCTTATCAGTAATGAGGTTGTATTCCATTTTCTACCAGTTTATATTTGAAGATTATATATATATATATTTCATCATCATATCCTCATAGTCACTACACGACTGCCTGGCGGGTTCGCGTTGTGAGCTCCTGAGCAAAGTGAAACTGAATTGTTCCTCTACTAGATCGGCGAAACACATATATTCATCATATTCCCGATCTCACCCGACAAAGCAAGGAGCCCGTGGTGCCGTGGTAGAGTATTGAACTCAATGACCACAGGTCTCGGGTTCAAATCTCCGAGTTTCCAACCCCTGAGATTGGGTATGACTGGCTGATGACGGCTAGCAGGTCAGAAATGGCCATTCCGGTCTCCCTTTGCTTCGTCGGATTCATTTCATCATTATTCACTATGTGACGGTCTGGCGGGCTCACGTTGTGTATAGTAAATTACAGGGT